GTGTCTTTAAACTCTTCAACTTGAGGTCTTTCATAGACACAAGTCTTCTAATATCTGAAGAGTATCCTTCTGGAACTTTAACTTCACTTAGAAACTCGCACAATATTTTTTTTCTCCTTTCTAGATAGAGTAAAAGCAGCAGGTGGTAGATATGTTCGTCTTCCTTTCTTCACGGGTCCTAATTCAGTTCTTATTCCCATCGTTAACATGTCTTCCCATGCTTTAAGGACATCCTTAGACTTTCCTTTTATATTGAGTAACGCACCAATAACACTTTCGAATACATTTTTTTCCAATATGCATAACATCGAGATAATGCCTCACATAGAAAGACTTCCAATATGGAAATTAAAAAAAATCTACCTCTTCTTCCACCCACCTTTGACAACCTTATATGCAAAAGGCTTGCTAAACTGAGTACACACATCTTTCACCTTTCCAAAATTTGGTCACCTGACAATGCAGATGGAGCTTTACGTTATTCGATGTCTCCATTGAATGCTTTTCTCCACCTTTGCTAGTGATGTTTAAAATGTAAGAATCTACGATGACCGAGAAACACATTCTTCTGACAAAGTTCCAATCGCGTCGTATTGGTTCCATCTTCACAAACAGGACACACACGATGAACTTTAATGCTATACCCAGATAGATTCCCGTATGCTGGAAAATCATTAATTGTGCCAAACAACATCACCCTCAAATTGAAACTTTCTTTCCTATATCCATCATAAACCTCCACACCGTTCTCCTACAAAATATTTAAATCTTCGATCAAAGGTGTCAAGTATACGTCTATGTCATTCCCTGGTTGTTTAGGCCCAAAAATTAACATAGATAACATCATGTACTTACGTTTCATACATAGCCATGGAGGTAGGTTATAAATCATAAGAATCACAGGCCATGTGGTATGTGAGATACTTTGAAGACCATGTGGGTTCATTCCATCAGTAGATAATGCCAAGTGAAGGTTTCTTGCTTCTTCTCCAAAATCAGGATAATCATCATCAATTTTCAACCACTATGGTGAATGTTCCAGATGTCGATACTTTCCATCAATAATTCTTTCATCTGCATGCCAAGTCAAGTGTCTTGCATCGATTTCACTACGAAACATGCGCCTAAATCTCGGAATTATAGGAAAATACCATAAGACTTTTGTTGGAGACAATTTTTTCTTATATCGAGATAAACTGCATTTAGGGCACTCATTTAACGATGCATATTCATTTAGAAACAAAACACAATCGTTTGGACAAGCATGTATCTTATCATAGCTCATGCCAATAGAGAACAACATTTTTTGGCCTCATAAGTTCGATTAGGAAGAACATTATCCTCCAGAAGCATATCTCTCATAAGGGCTAATAACTCTGTGAAACTTTTATCCGACCATTCATTGCCCGCTTTTAAGTTATACAACTTTAATACCGCAGACAGTCTTGTGAATTTAGTTCAACCTTTATACAACAGTTTCTCTACATCGCTTACCAACCTCTCAAACATTTTAGGACAATCCTTAAGATCTTCTTCAAGTGCTTATGCAATCTCTTCGACTCGATCACAATTGTATGTATCCGTGTCATTGTCGTCTAGAGCATAGGTCGTCGTATTACTTTTCTCCCCCGGTTCATCATTCCCGTTAATTTTCTCACCATGATATATCCAACACTTATAACTTCGATCAATCCCACGCGTCAGTAAATGCGATTTCAATCCATCAGCGTCAACCCTACCCACATAACAACAACCCAAGCAAAGGCATTTCATTCGACTGGAGTCTTTGACGTGTTCAATAACAAACTTAACGAATTCCAATACCCCATTCTCGTACTCTTTTGATAATCGATCGACAATCATCCATTTTTTATCCATGGAATTACTACTAATTAAGGTAAACAAAAACACTATAATTATTCACGCAACTATTTCAAAAGAACATAAAGAAAAACACTTTCACGACACAAAAAGAATATTAATACAAACTTTTAGAAATATTTTGTAAGATTTAATCGGATTAGCTCTAGATCGATATAGACTAAAATTAATTATTTCTATATAAAATTAATTGTGCTTTTTAATTGATATAGATAGAATGTTTTATAATTTAGGAAGCAGATAGTAAATAAATAAAAGAGTCGGTAATATTGAATTTGAACTTGACTTACCAAAGAAAGAAGAGGGGTTATTGGTGCCGATGGCGGATGATGTTTCTTTGACGTTCTTCTAATTGGTGATGGTCTTCGACTAACTACACCAATACAAAAAAGTCTTAACCAACTTTTTAGTAAGCACACTAACATTGAAAATGCATATAGTTGAGAATAAAATCACAATATCAATCCTCAAATGAAAATAAAATCAAAGAACTCATTTTGTTACACAATTTAAGAATCAGAACATAGAAAATTGATTTCAACACATGATTTATTCGATTAAACAAAAACCGGGCAGCAACTATAACAAGTTATGAATGCTAGATAATTTCAACTCAAGAAGATTCAAAATAAAATGGGAAAGCACCCGATGTCACAACCATGCGAAATTTCGAATTTAAATCAAATTACACAGTAAAGTTGTTCGAATCTCAAAGCAACGGTAAAAGATAAATTGCTGCCCCATGAATGATTCTCGACTATATCTTATGTGAATAGCGCGGCATAGACATCAATCCGTCATCGAAACCAAAATAAAATCAAACTATCACAACAAAGTGGCACTGTAACCGAATTAAACCTTGAATTCATAACAACATGCATCAAAGTCTTTTTCAAATTTTCTCACACAAAGTGACACAACATTGAATTCAAACCCGGAACTCTAACAAATAAAACAAAACGGGTAGCCCCAATAGTTTCTCGATTAGTTTATACACGAATAAACGCGACATCAACATCCAACCTTCATCGAAACTAAATAAAACCAGGCAGCCTAACAGAGTTTATATCACTAACTAATCGAACTTATAAACAAGTCACATGTTTTGCAGAAATGTAGAAGGAAATATCTAGAAACGTAGAAGGAAATGAATACCTAGAACTGTAGAAGGAAATGTTGAACCAAGCTTAACAAAACCAAATGTTAGTGAAATGATCGATAGAAGTCCTACAAGAGAGTCAAAAAAACCAAATGTTATAAATCAAATACCCAAAGAACCATAGCAACAGTAGATATAGGAACAAGGGAAATTTACCTTGAGATACGCTGGAGGATGGCAACTGAGGGACGGCGGAAGGATGGAGGAAGGAGGGCGGTCGGAGGAACGGCGGAAGGAGGGCGGTCGGAGGGACAGCGGAAGGAAGGCGGTATCTAAGGAACGACAGAAGGACGAAGAGAAAAGTGTGAATAGAAACGAGTTATGTGAATAGAAACGAATTCTGGAGGAATTCTATTTTTTAATTCTAATTATATGACTTTGGACAGCGCTTTTGAGAAGCGCTGACTAATATGGGCCTTTAACAGCGTTTTTAGATTTATTTTAAAATTTATATGACTTTAGACAGCGTTTAAGAGAAGCGCTGGCTAATGTAGTCCTTTACCAACGATTTTTTAAGCGCTTTCTAAAACAACCCTTTTAGCAGCGCTTTTCAAAAACGTTGTTTAAGATCGGCCTTTTAACAGCGCTTTTACTCATTTTTATATATAATTTCCGTATTTTATTTTTTAATTTATTTATAGCATCACTTTTATATAAAAATGCTGTTTAAGGTACAGTATCTAAAAACCTTTCTAACATGGTGTCTAATACCAATTTGATATCAAATATGAGACTTAAAAAAATTCTCACACACTAATTGAAAAGGAGAGAGAGGATAATTTTATGAACTCATTAATTTATTCAAACTTCAAAATCTGATAGTTCACAAAGTATTGCTTTCATATATTTATATAGGTCTTGGAGTATCCATTCTTAGTGGCTAAGAGGCTTAACAAAGAAGCATACTTAGGCGGTGATATTATCCACTAAGTTTCTTAACAGGTAAGCTTAATTCTACTTAATCACATCTAACTTCTACATTTTTCTATAGTTAATATTTTATTAATTGTTCTATTTTCTCAATACTTCTAGATATCTCTCGATTTAATTTCAACAATAGATCAAATCAAGTTTATAATCCAACATTGGAAAGGGATTTATAGAAAAAATTAGAAAAATCTTAAATATTTTTTAAAATTGTGATTTTATATATAATGATAAATGAATTATTATTATTATTATTATTATTATTATTATTATTATTATTATTATTATTATTATTATTATTATTATTATTATTATTATTATTATTATTATTATTATTATTATTATTATTATTATTATTATATTATTATTATTATTATTATTATTATTATTATTATATATTTTATTTTATAAATATTATAACAACATAAAATATATTTAAAATTTTAGTAAATCTTTCAAAAAAAATTTGAAATCCTCCGCTAATATAAATTTTAAATTCATTTAAAAAAAAATTATATTATAAATAAAACTAAATCTTTTAAAATTTTCCTATCTCTTCTCCTCCAAAACTCCTAAACAAAATTTTAAAAAACGAGTTAGTTTACGGTAAAAGGTACAAATAACATGAAGCTGATAAAAAAATGGACAATTTTGATGATGGAGAAATTCAAATCAAATGTAACTAGTTTCATTCAAGAAAAGAAAGATATATTGGTACGAATTATAGGTAAAATAAAATAAGAAAAGATGAATTTTCAAATTGAAATTCAAATTGAATGCACAAAAATATTCAGTGAAGAGTGTTGAGAATAATAATTAATATATTTCACAAATATAAATACTAAAAACTCCTTTTACTAAAAAAATAATAAAATCTCCATCAATATAACCTGCAGCATTGATATCTATATAGTATTATTAATCATCACTTTCATAACACATGTCATTGCATTTCCATACTGTTTAATTTTTGTATTGATATTTGATAGTGTGTTTAGTTAGGGCTTACAAATTGGAATGCTAAAAAATAAGATCAACTTTTCCATAAAGTTAAGTCCACTGTAGTTTCTCCATCAACCCAATTGAAACCTCTCTGCAAAGCCGGCGGTGTGATAATCAACCCTTCTGCCATGCTGTTTATCAAACCCGGCATGTTGAAAACCTCCTCCTCGTCCCAAAACAATCTTCCAGAATCTTCCCCCATGCAAACGTTAACATCAGAAACACAATTTAAAGACTCTGAATCATTCTTTACTGTCTCGGCAGTAAAGAATGGTTCATAGCCTTCACGTGAAGAGAAGTGTTTTTCAGCCGCTTTCGTTGCGGCAAACTGAATCGACCTAATAGAAGAAGTTTGTGCACTAAGACGCGGCAAAGATGAAGCTGAGTTAGGGAAATTTAAGGAAGCAGCTTCACCTCTAAAAGCTAAAGCTGCAACATCATAAGCTTTAGCTGCCATGTCCGGGTGAGAAAATGTTCCAAGCCAAACACGACGAGTTTTGGTGTTAGGTTGTCGTAACTCACACACCCATTTTCCGTTTCTTTGTCTCACTCCTTTGTATATTGGGTGTCTTGTCTCATGGAACTTCTTCCTTCCATCTTTTCTTTTATTCATATTGTGTGTTTAGTAATAATAATATGTTTCAATCTATTTATCAACTAACCTTATATATTGATACCTTATTAGATAAATTAAACAACGTGACACGTTAAAAAATTACCCTAAGGTGTGCGAGTGTGACGCATGCAAATTGTGTACGTATGAACGGGATTAATTAAATAAGAAAATGGATTACAGAAGTAGCTAGTGACTATAAATGAGACACTTTGTGTGACATTGATGTATTTTGAGTGGGGAACGTGAGGAAACTTGTGTGAAATGTTGTGTTGTTGTGACACTATTGTGGTGTTGGGCAAAGATAGTGACAAAAAGTATAGTGACTTATAGAACAAGAATGCTGTGAAAAGCGTGTTTAAAATGATTTGTTTTACTAATCACGTGTTTATTATGTTGGAACCATACCATATGGTACACGTTGCTTAGTTTTTTCTTATTATTTTAAGATTCACGTGGGTGGATATAAAAATTTTATTAAAAATTTATTATAAGAAACTGACAAAATCTATCACTATGTTAATTTTCATAGGTAAGACTCTTTATCGATGAACATGTTGGTCGTGCACTACACTGTACGATAAACTTGAGATATTTAGCTTTTGGTTAATGTTTTACCAATGGACAAATACCTTTTTCTTCTAGAGATCTTAAAGTCTGTCACTATTTCTTGTATAAAGGTTATTTGTTTTAGTTACAAGATAAAACTGTAGGTAAAAATAAAATTTTTTGGAATAATTAGGTATTAAAAAAAAATCACAAATAATCATGTTTCGGAGAAAATTACGTAAATAATCATGTTTCAAAAAACTCTTCAAGGGAGGAGCCATCTCACTTGGCGCCTACACCTTATTTTAAAAGGGAGGCGTCATCTCACTTGGTGCCTAGGTGTTAAAGTCTTGCCCTAAGCCAAGTGAGATGACGCCTTAGTGCAATTGGGAGGCAATTTTTCGCGTTTTTTATTTTAAATGTGGTGCGTTACGTATTCGATATAGGATCAACAAAATTGACTTTTTATTTACAAAATATGATTACACACATAACGATTATATAAAAAAATACAGATTAATCAGTGGTCCCCCGGAACCCGGTAATGACCCCCGGTTCCGCATCCCCGTCCTCGCCTTTCCCGTGCTGGGTTTCGTCGCGTTTCCTGTTGTGGCAGGGTCGATGGCCCAACGAAGTCAATGCGTTCCAGATCCATGAAATCGGTCAGATCTCCATATCTAGAAGATCCGCTTTGGTACAGTCGGTTGCCCATACCCTCAAAGTTTGGTCGTGTTGGTGGTGGGTGGGTGTTGTACCCCAAAATTTGCCCTCGTATTTTTTCACAAGAAATCACAGCTTCGGGCTTTTCCTGATTTTTTCAGACTGGCTCAAGAATCAGTCAAACAGAATTTTTCTTGTCAGTCTAGCCAAATTAGGGTTTTCATGGACTTTTGATACAGTTCAAACAATTTATTAGGGTTTGGTTGATTTTGGCTCAAGTTTTGATCAGGCGAACGCTTCTTTGGCATTTAATCAAGAACTAGGGTTTGTATGCATATTTCTCAGAAAGAATTAATTCTACAGTGCTTTTCAAGTTATTCTGAGATATGGACTGAGGCATTTGATTTGAGTTTGCAGTGTTGGATTTAATCAAATAAAAAAAAGGGGGACATGTGGACGTGTGTTGTTTAGCTGTGCAATGCTCTGATTATTCAGAATTCCGGACGTTTATTGATTATTTATTATTCTGAGTTAAAATGGTTGAGATTTATTTCCAGTTATTATAATTTAAGAATTATAAATAATAAAATAAACAAATTGAAAAGAAGAAAAGGAATTAACTGATAAAAAGACTTTTTATTTATCTTTAATTATTTGTACAATTGTTATTTAAATACAGTAATTATTTACAAGGTATTTACAATAATAATGTTACAGTGATTAAAAGGAAAATAAAATTACATCCTAAAAAAAATCCTAAATCTTCATTCTTATACTGATGCTCTTTTGCTCCTTTGATTTTTATCTGCAAAACAAAGAAAAAGAAAAAAAAGTCAAATGCAGATAAAATAATTAAAGAGCAGACAGATAAAAATTGGATTCATCATTAAAGGTAACTGGCCGGAATCAGTCTACCCTCTCTGCAAATCACAAGATTTCTCTTGGTTCACAAAGAGGGATAGAAAAATGCTTGCAAAAAGACATGAAATGCACAAAAGTTATAAATGCACAAATTCAAATTCTCAAACATACTGCATTGTCAACAAGCTGCATAGTTCATAAATTGCCAACAAAGTCCAAACTGAACTACAAAGTCACAATTTCAAACTAAGCCAAAAGCTGTCAAAAACTGTCCAAGGATATAGAAAGATATCAAGATATCAAACAAGTACAAAATGCTGTCAACAAGAGGCAGGAAAACTGGAATTATGCAGAGCTAAGCAACTAATGCAAGCAAGGTTCAAGTAACATCACTTTCCGGCCAGTACACCTTTTCAGTAAAGTACAGATTTTTAAACAATATAAAAATGCTTAAATCTGTCAAGAGAGAGAGAGAGAAGAGAAAAAGGAAGCAAAGGCTTACAGGCTTAGGCTTAAGGAATATAAAAGCAAAACTGTTATAGAACAGTAAAAGGGGGAGGCAGAAATAACACAAGAAAAAGAACACAAACAAAACTGTAACATTGAAACACAAACTACCTCCACAAGCTTGAAGCCTAAGCTCCAAACCTCACACAAGCCCATAACCTGTGTCAAACCTTAAACCTGTAACCATACAAACATCAAGCCAAAGCCTGAAGCAAGCCAATGCCTGAAGCCAAACATCCTGCATAAAGCCAGCAAACTGATATACTTCAAACAACCAAAGGCCTAAAGCTTCAAGCCTATTTTCAAAGTTCCAAACCTCTACAAGCCCTGTCAAACAAAATTTCAAAGCCTTTAAACCTGTAACAAAAAGCCTAAACCTGGTCAAGCATCAGAAGCCTGAAAAGGCCAAACGAGCCTTTAACCTGCTCCAACAGCACCAACATTCAAACCACAACACCCTCAGAACTGTGTTCATCACAGGGTCCAATACTCAGCCGTACCACCAATCCAAAGCAATAACTCACAAAAAAAATATTCAATCATCAAAGCATCTCAGCAATACCATCAATCAGAGGCAAACATTCAAGTGTACAGAAGAGGAAAAGAAATTATACTAGGCATTTTCAGATTTCCAAGCATCATCATAAAACAACCCTAAAAGGCAAAGAAAGAATACAGAGTACCAGGGAAAACTTCCAAAGCACACATCATCACGTTCTTCCGCCCAAGCCACCCTAGGCGCCTCCTCCAGCTCTCTCCTCCATTTTCAAAAGACAACAAAGGTATAACTTTTCTACTTTTTTTTTCCTTCACACCTCACATGACAATAATAATGTTCAGAGATTAGAATTTATCAAGGAGTAAAAAACGTGTACGAACTGGAAACCCTAAAAAACATAAGCTATGAGATCGTTACCTTGCAAACATCGCCGCCTGCATGACCATGGGGAAAGGAAAGAGGGAACGACTCCTGGCAACGAGGACGGAGGGGCGTCAGTAAGCCATGTTCGGTTTGAGAAGATGAAGAGGATAGAAACGAAATGAACGGCGCTGTAACTCAAACCCTAATCCAAAATGACACAGAACTATTGCAACCCTTACAAAATGTTCACTAACTTGCTTTGGGCCTTGCCCTTTTCAATTTGCTTAAGCCCATTAGGCGTGCACCCCCCTTTCTTTGATTCTCAAATCAGTTTTTTTGTTTGGGCCAGCATAAGTCTCTTAAGCCCATTCTATTCTTTTTTACTAACACTTTTCTTTTTCATTATCACATTACATTTTTTTCCATAACTTATTTTGATTTTTATTAATAATACTTTTTTTATGTAAGCTTTAGATTTAATCAAGTCAATAAGCTTTTGTTTTAAATTCCCTTTTTTTTTAGTTTTTACACATTAACTAAAAATACATAAAAACAATAAAATACATAAACATTTTCTTTTTCTTTTCTTAAAAATCTTTTCTTTGTACATAAAAATACTAATTAAATACATTAATATTAATACATAAAAAAATAGAACTTAAAACATTTTCTTTTCTTTTATTAAATTTTCTTGTTTTGTACATATTAACAAAAATACAAAAAGAATAAATAAAATACTTAATAAATACATTTCTCAACTTGTAAATAAATCATACACTTACACAAATACATTGATACATACACATTTGCTTTATTCTTATACATTGCTATATCTTACATTACACTGCGATCGATTCGATTTGGTTGTAATTATTTGGACACTACTCTCCTATTAAAGTCTCATCCCCATTTGTAAACATTTTGTACCCCCACTCCCGGATACTTATTTGTAATAGCGTAGACTTTAAATTCCCGCAATTTATCGCTTTCAAATATATCATGGTTAGACCTAGGGTTTGTATGTACATAAATCAAACGCTAGATAACCTAATACAAAGACAAATACATGAAATCGATACACAATCACACTTACACCCCTAGGGTAATCCCGCTTGTTGCCTTCCAAAATGGGCCATGCTTGCATGTTGAGTTTCTTTGGCAAAACAAACAAAATGATCATAGTCCCTCGATGACGCTTTCGAAAGTCACCTAATCAAAATGATCATAGTCCCTTCAAGCAAATTTCCAAAGACACTTGGCACCATTGCATTCATGGTCCATACGATGACCCGCGCTTGTCCCGTTAAACATCCTAAACGCAAGATTGTCCACCAAATACAATAGTGGAACAAAATTGTTAAAAGGGTTAAAACATAGGAAAAACCTTTGAGTAAATTTAGGGGTAGACAACTCTTAGTTACTCGATCAAACTTGCAAAACACACTTGCCTACTTTTCAAAACCACACTCCACAAACACTTTCAAAAACAAACTTTCAAAAACATTTGAAACATCTTTTCGAAAAGATACACACCTTTGTATATACTCAAACACGAGTCATT